AGAGGCAGCAGCCCTGGCGCCCAGCCCAGACTCCCCTCTGACGGAGGACTGGTATAAGATGGAAGGGTCTCTGTTACAGCAGGACCTCAATGCAAACTCCACCTCCTCCTGGATCAAACCGTAGAGCAGAGGTAACCGTGCAAAAGCAAACCCGTCAAAAGCAAAAGCCAAAGAGCCCCACGCTCCGGGTTCGGCTTCCGCTCTCCATTCAACTCCGTCTGGCTCTCCCATCGCGTGGCGCCGCTGAGGGCGGTGCGCACTTGCGTCCAATCGGCGGCCGTATCAAAGCGGAGCTGAGCCCGATCGCGTGGCTGCTTTGCTCTCGTCGTCAACCGTTTTGTACACAGTACAGCGCGGTTTTGGGGGGGCCGTGTGTGTGTGTCCACCGCTTTTCTGTTTGGAAAGAAAAACGACGACGACGAACACATCATAACTCGCACTTTCTTGTTTTGTCTTGTGTGTCTTGTCCGTGTCTGCGTCTGTCTGTCTGTCTGTCCTCTGGTGTGTCTTGACGATTTCATGACATTTGGAACGGACTCTCCTCCTTGGGCTCACTTTTCATTTTCCTTTGATGTTGACATCTTGTGTGCCAACCACTTGCTTATGGCAAAAATGTTGGCCAAACATCCACTCCGTTGGCGCTCCAACCCACGTCATCACACGTAGCGACGAGCTCCACGAAATCTGGCAGTCTGCCGAGTGTGCCGGGCTTGTCTCTGCGGCTCGCGCCGGCGGCGAGCCCGCCTCTGGAAAAGGACCCGGAGGCGGGCCCGCTGCGCCCTCGTCGTTCCGCCGTCCCCTCCGCTTGGTAGCGGGCGGGAAGGCCGCGCACGATCACGGGCCGCCGGATGCCCACCGAAAGTCTCCGCCGACGCTGTCCGAACCGAAAGCAATAAAATCACGTCGGCGTAGGATGCAAATAGGCTTTGGAAAAAGGGAGAACTTCCGTTGATTGTTCGACGAATCGGGATCGTGTCGCAACCACCCAAAAGCGCGTGCGTTTCCTATTCGCTGACATCTCTTTTGACGTGTTGCGGACCAAACAGCAAACACGAAGCATCCTGCCTACGTCCGACCAAGTGTTTGTTTTTACATTCGGAAAAATATCATAACACAGCGCCAAACAAAAATGCCGCCCAAAGTGGATGCGCGGATCCACGGCTTGCCGTCGCGTCGGCTCGAACTCTTGCGGTTCGGCTGTACGTGTCTTGGACCAGGCGTGTCCAAATGTTTTCCTTTGAGAGGCCGCCTGCAGGAAAAAAGCAGAAGGATGAAAGGGCCACTTTTAAACTTTTTGGAACGATCTAAAGTCGGTCAAGTCTCTCTAGTTCATTTCATCAGCCCTCTGTTCGAAGGCAAATAGTTGGCATGAACAAACTGGGGAAAAAAAAAAACAAAAACGAGCTTCACTCCAGTCAACATTTCGAATTTTTTTTTTCTCGTCATCAAATCTTGTCTTGAGCATGCCACTGTGAATGAAACTTTGCAAGAAACAATGGGGATGGTAGGCTTTCTTTTTTTTTTCCAGACTGAGCTCAAATGTATCTTCAAACGTCATTTTATAATCTCTCTTAATACGACACTCATCCGGCCAATGCCTTCCTGAACTGTGTGACTGTAAGATTTCCCCAAGCAGATTTTCCTGGAGGACACGGCCGGAAGAAAACGGCCAAGCCGGAGAGAAGCACAAAACTGTGTACATAAAAAGAACATCAAGAATCATGACTTGATCGACTGGATGTTTTGTACCGGAGTCCCAGAAAGTATTTCAACATACAAGACCGGTATGCTGCAAATGACCCTTTTTAGGGGGGGGGATAAGAATGGCGTCAGCGGGGCTGTTAAGACCTCAGGTCATAGCAACTGGTGACACTGACTTTTTGACACCTTCTTTGAGTGTGCCCATCAACAACAACGTCACATGTATTCGTGTGTGTCCATCTGTCCGAAAAAGGGAAAAAAAAAAAGGAAATCTATGCACGGCCCCCAGCCCGCCGCTGCCACCGCCACCCACATTCCAGGATGCTTTTGTTTGCCGACACCTGATTGCGGGAGGAGCTGAATGGAGAGCGTTGCGTCGCTTCGCGTGTCTCGTCACCCCGTGTTTGTTGTGCCAGTCGCAAAGCTTCCATCGTGCCGGAAGTTGTTGTCGTGGGGGATTTTTTTTTTTCCCGAATGGTCACACTTTGTTCTGGCAGTTCAACGGGAGCGTACGCGGGTCATGCCGTTGACTTCCCGACCGGTTTAAAATGCAAACGGGTGAAACCCGCCATTGGCAAAACATCAAGATGCAGGTTGGCTCATGCTCGTTGAGCGCTTTGGCATCAAGCAAGCCACCAAATCGGATCATCGTCTCGCGTTCCGCTTGGATTGAGTGATTGATTGATTGTCAGATGAGTGGGATTATTCATGACTTTCTGCTCTTGTGTTCACAGTGTTAAGTTTCTAGCGTTGGCCTTCTCTGTGTAACGAGGAGCCCTTAAGCGGTAAACACATATTTGCGGTGGGAGCCACATAAGCGGCGAGCGTGACGTGGATGGACGTTTTGAAAGGAGCTCTTTGGGTCACCAGAGAGAGACAGAAAGAGAGAGAGGGAGAGGCCTCACCTTTAAAGCACCACTTCCCAAAATTCACACGCTCTGCTCCTGCTCACGTCGTTACCAAAGTAGCCTCTCGGAACTCCGCTGACCGTATTTTTTGACATCTGCCTGACAGACCACTTTTTTTTTTTTTTCTTCCACCCCTTTTGGGCCGATTGACTGCACATTGCACTGACACACTTTGGGAAAAGGGGGCCGGGGGGACTCCCTAACGACACATTCCAGATGACGTCGCTCGGAAATCATCACCATGGACATGTTTCCGGAACCAAAACAAACTTGTCCTCACAAGGGACTGAATGAGCAATGTAGCATCTCTGCTAACGCTGTAGCATCACTTGGCCGGGAAACGATTTGAGCTGACAGAAGAAGAGCGAGACGTTTCGACAATTTCGAGGTCGCGACCTTCCGTTCCGGTGAAGAAGTAAAACACCCCGACGGTCCGTGAGAGACGGACGTCTTCACCTTCAAGCCAACGAGCCGCATCAGGATGGAGTTTAGCACTTGCCACTGAAACGTTGTCTTCCATTCCCTCCTCAAAAAGGCGCCGATTGAAAAGCTAGCGTAACTCACCGAAGCCCATGCAGCAGCATCTGCATTCCACGCCGTTTGACCTTGATCTCCTCCTGACGTTTTCCGCTCATGTACTGCAAACGGGGGTGGAGGAGGGAGGGAGGCTCCCGCCCAACCGCCTTCTCGCCACGTCATCCAGAAAGGAGCCGCTCGCATCCGCTCGCCTTTTCAAATCAAGCACACAGAAGTAAAATGAGAACTTTTTCCCGCCGGAGCGGAAAATGCACTCGAGGAGCTCCGGACGACTCTCGTCGGTCTTCGGTCCGATCACAAGTCTGCTTCAAGTATGATGAGAAGGAGGAATGGACATCACACCCCCACCCCTCCTCAGCCACTCCCTGCGCCCCCCCTGCCACAAGGATACTTTACCCCCCCCCCCGCCAGCGCACACAAAGGCCTACACTGCCAACAAGGCACAAGAAGCCGCAGGTGAATACTGCCCAGAATGTCCCTGTGGTACCTCTTGCCGCCAGCGGGCCACTTCACTGGCGAGTCGATGTCATGCAACAAGCAGAAGTGGACAGAGTCTAGATCAAGCGCCCCCCCCCACCCCCCTCCTCCCCAAAAAAATAAAATAAAAAGAGGGAGAGACAGAACAAATATATATATTTTGATAAAACAAATCTAGCTCTGGCATTGGACGGAATGGGAGAAAAAGTAGTAATGGATGCACAATGTGAAAATTTGCCATGAAAAAAAACAAAACAAAACAAAAATCCTGAGGGGGCAGAAAAAAAAGGACACGTTGCGGCTGACTAAAGTTGGCTACGGGACACAGCAAAGACATCCTCATGCATCGATGGCAAGGAATATACCCCCTCCCCCACCCTGACTTCAACAAACGAGGGGCGGCGGTGGCGTGGGGGGTGGTGCATTTTTCTAACTTTGTTTACCAGCATGACTACTTTGCATGACTGTCTTTTCTGCAAGCCCTTCGTTGAAGACAAGGGTGCTAGAGATACAAGAACATAGATATATACAAAATGAGTTGAAAAGAAAATGTTATATGCAATTCATGTTTAAAAAAAAAAAAAGAGAGATTCTAATGAAAGAGAAGATATATTTTGTTTTGAAAAGGTAAAAAAAAAAAAATGTGAATATTGAAACGTGTGTGTGTGTGGTTGCAACGTACACCCGGAACTGTTTTGTCGGATGAAATCTCTCCGCTTCTGCTGCCCTCCCGTCCTCATTCTGGAGTTTGGCATCCAGAGCAAATGTGGTTGGACATGCGCTCTCTTTTCTTAACATCTCATCAACCGTCGTCATCATCATCCCAGACTTTGCCGACCGTTAGCTTGCGTGCAAAGTTTGCACGGTGACCGTAGCAGCAGCAGCAGCAGCAATTCAAAAACAAAAAAAGCTCTCCGTACGTTGTCTGCTTCAGTAAGACTCTTTCACTGCATTACTTCTCTCTTTTTTCCCCCCCTTTGGCAATAATACAAGAGAAGTTGAGAGCTGACTGTTGCAGGGCCGAGCGGGCGGAGTAGCTTTCCCGATTCGATTCCTTTCTCTTCACGGTTCTGTTCCGCTTAGCGGAAAGATCAAGTCGGATTCGGGGGTGACCTCGAAGGCCAAAAAATCCGGGATGCCGGTCGACGTTTCCGTCGTGTGCGTTTTTAAAGCTTTTTTGCCATAGCAACGGCCGAAAGGTGATTCCTTTGGTTGCAGGGTGACTTTTGGTCGACTCTTGCCTCACAAAAGGACAATTAGCTGGACCGTGGAGGTTCACCTCGCGTGCCCTCCCACGGAAAAGCGATCTACAGCACTGGAATTAAATCTGCCGTTTCGTTCCTAGCGATCGTCTTCAATGTATTGGTACCAATTCTGGTCTTCGGATCTATATTCGGGGTGTTCTGAGTGAGACGGACCGATTCCACGACTGCTCACGTGGAGCAATTGCCGTTTTTTTCAATTTTGGAGCTGCTCACGATCAATTATTTTAATCGTCGATTAGCCTGTCGGTTACTTATTCTGCCTCTGATTAACCCCAAATAAATTTCAGCAGTTCTAATACGGCAGTTCTTTGATATGATCTGAAATGAGTTCCTGTGGGACTCGTTATAGCTCGCGTGTCGTCACACCAAGCCTTTGGACTACTGGTGAGGTCAGTTTTTTTTTTTTCTGAGCGTTGTCATTGGTGTCAGAATTCTTTGGCCTTTGGGGTTTCATTGTTTGTGGAACACATATATATATATCTCATCGAGCAGTTTAATCAAAAGTGATGTCAGGCGAGATTTCAGGTTTGCATGGAAGCAACTGTCATTCCAAAGTTTGTTTTTAAGGACTCAGGTTGTGTTGATGGGAATGTGTGGCCGCGCGGTAGGTGTTCAGCGCTTTTATTTCTGATCAACTGAAGTCATGAAGACCCAACAGTGATGTGGAGAGAAAAAAAAAAAAATCAGCGCATGCCTCATGTCAATCAACGCGGGAGGGCAAGAGCAGAGTTTTGACAAAGCCTCTTGGCCGCCGCTGTTGGTTGAATACTCCACAACAAAACACTGACCACTGTGCCGTGTCGTCGAGCAAAAACGTCTTCCTCCCAGAGGCAAATGGCAACACACTTGGAGTGTGTCAAGGTAGCTTGTCTTATTTGGTATCGTCGTCTTTTTGGGGAGATGGTCTCGCTAGCATCATCCGCGACGCATCCGGCATCCCGAGCGACTTAATCGGTCCACGCAGCGCAGTCAAAAGGGAGTCAGAGCTTCCGAAAATGATGTCAGGCAAGTCGAGCGGGTGAAGACGGGAGATCGCAAATGGCTGTTTGGTGATCGATTGAGTCATGAACGAAGCCGTCGCCTTTTCTGCGTGGAAGTCCCGCTGGTTCGGGGCTCGTGGCGCTCCGGTAGCTTCGCTTTGCAAGCTGGGAGGCCGGTCGGGGGTGTGCGACGCTCACCATTAAGGGTCCCATGTCGACCCGGTCCACGTTGGCTCCGATTGAAACAAAAAGCGTAAATTCGGCCTCCTGGACAGCACTATGGAAGCGGCACTGTTTGTTTGGGGGTTTTTATTTCAGTACAGTTTTCATCTCGAAAGACAGAGCTGCGGCGGTCACGGGTCAAAACGCTGCATACAGAAACTCCTCACCCACGTCTGTGTGTGTGTGTTTAAGGCCAAGACTTGTTCCTTTCTCGTTTAATCGTCACATTTTGTCCGCATCATTATCATCGTTCAGGTCCTGAAAAAAAAAAAAGATGTCTCTGTTTTTAGTGCGTAATACTGCCCCCTGTCCGCTGTACTACCTTTTTCTTTTATCAATTCGAATCATGGGTTCTTTTTCTTTCCTGTATGCTTTACAGTGACCTTCGGGGTGTAATGTCCTCTCAAAAAAAAAAAGCAAACAAAAAAAGAAACCAAAACACAAATCCAGTTTGTGTCCGGTGCCCGTTTGATCATGTGATGCCTCTGATTGACACCTACCGTGGCGCTCTCGAGGGCGCACGTTTTGGGGGAGCGTGTTTCTCGTACCAAGAGTTTCTTTGCCGTTGGAAAGACACGCCCCATCATCAGATTGGTTTCCATCACATCTTGCGGACCGACGTCATGCATCCACGCAAGTTTTCCAAAGATCAAACATGTTTGTTCATTGTTCAGTCGATCTAACCGGACTGCGCGGCGGACGAACGGGACGACAAAGTGGACGCTGGGGTTTCCGCATTTTATTTTTGAAACGCGCTAACGCATCCAGAACTGTATAGAGTATGTTTCAACGGGACGTTCGCGATCTACCTTTTTATATTTTGAAGAGAGAGAGAAAATAGAAACATATCAAGAAAAGTGTCATCGTTGAACAGATTTCTACTACTGAGACTTAAAATGTATGAATGTCAATACGAACTAATGTGAAACCAATCTCCATAGCAGCTTGAACAAATTAACTGGTTGGAAGTCATGAGATGCTTTTCTTTTGTTTGGTTTTTTTCCTCCCAGAGACGTTGAAAATTGCTTCAATGCGATGAACTTAAATAAAATGGGGGAGAAAATTGGCTGACCTCTGTGTTCCTTTGTTTGTGACCCACTGCCAAAGTCTCGTTCCCAAATGTCTCCGCCGAAATCAAATGAAAGGAAAGAATGTTCTGTGCCGGATCTCCTGAACCAGTCAGACTGGCCACCCGTTTGCAATATTTCCGACTCTTGGGTGGAATATGTTGTTTCAGTGGCGCAGTGACCCCGTCGTGCCCGGCCAGACTCGCACCGAAATGGTGGCGCCAGCGCATTCTGCAGCACGTGCTGACAGGAAGAGTTCCGCTCGGGCACACCGTCGTCTGAAAAGTCAAGCCAAGTGTCACGTGCCACGCTGATCTATGAGTTGACCCGAAGTGACGAGCGATATCCGAGAAAGATGAAATCAAGCAAGCGCTACCGCGGACGGACACCGGATGCCGGCTACCGTTTCGGTCTGACATTTTGAAATCGATACGGAAGCTTTGCCGACACAGCCCAGGTCTTGACACCTTTACAGGTTGAGGGGGCTAAAACGCGCAAACGCTGACCATTTCGAAATGTCTTCCACCATTCATGTGACCCATAGCCCGTGCAACTCGACTGAGGTGTCTTTTTAAGCTTTGCAAGAGGGGAAGTTTAAAAAAAAAAAAAGCGGTTGCAAAAGTGTGCACACGCCTCATAACAGGACGTGGCTGTGTGGAGGCAATTCTCAGTGGTTGAAAATCCTCCCAGAATATCTGAACTTGATTTGGGGTTGATCAGAAACAATGACACCGATCCCTCTACGTGACTGTTTGATGTCCCTGCGAAGATGACACAGCATTTGTGCTGCTCGCAGTCCTCCGTCCTCATCGTTTCTCGAAGGAAAGCACAATATGTCGTGATTGCTTCGCATTCACTTCATTCTTCCATCCCGAAGAGCCATTTTGAAGCGCACAGCTGCAGCTTCTGCCCTCCGTCCCTCCAACTCAGTAAGCACATTCTTTCAAATGTGTGAACAAGGACGACAAAACGGAATGCCCCCCCCCCCCCATGACGAAATGCAGCAAATGTTGGCAGAGATTCTTTTTGTTGCAGTCCGAAGCACCATCATCTCCATCTAGTGGTCAAATATGACCAACTATCTGCGAGGCCAAGTGAGTCCAAAGGGGAAGAACGAAGTGCTGCGCAGGTATGCTCGACACACCGACCCCAAGTTGACTCAGGCCACGACTGCAAAACAAATCGTCTCGTGACTGCAGACTGCCTTTCATGAGTTGAAACTAAATTGAAATGAACTGTTACTATGACCAATGACATCACATCCTAACTGAGTAGTAAGTTTGTTTTTTTTCATGTATGACGACACGACACCCCTGCTTGAAACGGACTGACGGAGTTCAACGTATCGCTTTGTTGTTTATTTGCGGTCGATGATGTCAGTGAACTGATAGAAGACACGGCGTTTTCACAACGACAGACATGGGACGTTTGGTGCTCTTTGAAGTTGAGGTTGAAGAAAGCATGTTGGGGGGGGCATGGCGTGGAGTTGAGCACCAATCAAGTGCCAGGGACCCCTCCGCAGCGGATCCCGTCGGAGGGCTGTGAGGGACTCCGGCCGGAGTATTGAGCTTGTTAGTCAAGCCAACGCCAAAGGGCTCCCATGCAGACGTGACATTCGATAGCCGAGACTGGAGGTCGTGTTGCCTCATCGCTAAAATGGGAGGGAGAGTTTGTGTGTGTGTGTGGAGGGTGGGCGAGGGGGGACTGAGATTGGATTTCCTCAGAACAGCATTCCCGAAAAATTTCGAGACTGGACAGACATGAGGCAAGACGGGCCAACAAGATTGTTGATGTTCCCTGAGCACACGAGCGGAGCTGGAGTCGGTGCGCAACCTGCTCCGCGTTCAGCAGACTGACAGCGGGGGGGGTCTCCGTCCGGGACAGATCGACCAACGGCGACTTGAAGGACACCATGACGGTGCCACCGACAGAGAGCCCCCTCAGCGACGGGAGAGCAACAATGAGATAGTTGCAGTTGGGTTTCGGTGAGTTGTTTTTGGTTTGGTCCCCCGTTCCGCTCTCACCTTTTCCTTTGACCTTTTCTCCTCCTAAAGCCACGAGCAACGCTAATCGATCCCCTCATGGGACGTCACTCTGGTTTCAGGCAATTTAGTCCGGCTGTTCAGCAGGTCCTCAGGAGAGAGGCGCAGCCCTACCCCGGGGACACCGAAGGCGATGGACAGCAGCGACCCACGGGATGAGGAAAAAGGAGCGCAGAAGCACAAAGAGACCACAAAGCAGCTGAACATCGTGGAAAGAGGTGCGGCGGAGATGAAAAAAACAGAGGGAGAGAAGAGGACGCGGCGGGGCTGGGCACTGAGCGAGAGACTGGCCATCAACGTCTCGGGGATGCGCTACGAAACCCAACTTCGCACCTTAGCCCAGTTCCCGGACTCCCTGCTGGGCGACCCCCAGAGAAGGTCGCCCTACTTTGACCCCATGCGAAACGAGCTCTTCTTGGACCGCAACCGGGCCTGCTTTGACGCCATCCTCTACTTTTACCAGTCAGGCGGCAGACTTCGGAGGCCCGCGAACATCCCCCTGGACATCTTCATGGACGAGCTCTGCTTCTACGAGCTGGGAGAGGACGTCGTGAACCGCTTCAAGGATGACGAAGGCTTTTCCAAAGAGGAAGAGAGGCCCTTGCCCTCCAACCAAATGCAGAAAAGACTGTGGATGCTCTTTGAACACCCGGAGTCCTCGTCCGCCGCTCGCATCATCGCCATCGTCAGCGTCATGGTGATTGTGGTGTCCATCCTCATCTTCTGCCTGGAGACGCTGCCGGACTTCCGCGTTGAGAAAGAGACGACACAGGTACGCAATGTGAGTGGAAATGGGATGCAGCCCAGTGCCGATGACGTTTGGCTCAAGTGATGCCCGGCCTTTCCGATCGCTTTGGACGGTAGCGCTAGTAGTTGCCGGCTTAGAACAGAAGACGAAAAGGGCTGACCGGACAAGTAGAATGCACGGGGTCGTGTTCAAGCATTCTTTCAGGGCGTCGGCAGTGGGCCGCTCGCCTCTGCTGTCGTGAGCTGCCAGGGAAGTACAGTAACTCTGTCCAGTCCCGGTTGCAGCCCCGCTAAACCGCAACGGCGGTCTGGGCGATGGGCTGCCGATGGATACGGACATGGAGGGGAAGCGCTATAGCGAGACGCTCTCGGATTTCTCTTCAGATATCTCACAAGGTTATATTTAGCTTGAGGAGAGCCCTCGGCGCTGATGATCTCGCCCTGTTGCGGACCAAATCCACGACGGAATGTCATTTCGGAAAAAAGGCCCGTCTGAATCGCGCGTCAACGTAGGAGCAAGCGCATAACCCGTCTGGCTTGGATGAAATCCCTTGTCCATTTTCACGCTGGGTTCCTCAATGCAAATTGCCACGGTCAGTGAATGCGACGCTAACTGGCAGGCAAAATGGAAAGACAGGTGCAGCGCGAGAGGGATCGGGGCCAGCTAGGATTGATATGTCATGCCACAAATGTCAACTGCCGAAAGTGACAGCCAATGAGATGGCGACGGGATCGCCGGAGATGTGCGTAAAATATAGCCAAGCTTTTGAAACCGATTGATATGTTTGCCAAACATGTCGATTCGACTTCTGGGAATGAGTCAGACGAGAAGGTGACCTGTAACTGCAGCTTGTCTCGTGTTGTCTTAACTTAGGGTAGGAAACGGCATGTTGACGATGAACAGTGGTCATTTTCGCATCTTTCATTAAGTTTCATCCGGAAAACGATTTTTTTTTTTTTAATCAAGCATAAAATGAGTTGTGAGGTCATTTGTTTAAGTGTTTGGCTATTTGTTTGTACTGTAAGTAAAGTTGAATAGAACCTGCTAATTTGCAAGGTCCTTCAAAAAAAAAATAAATAAACAAAATAAAAGCAGTTGGTTTTAAGAGTGAATAGAGCGTAGTCCAAAATGACCTCTTCCGCATTTGAGTGTGTGTGTGTGTGTGTGTGTGTGTGTGTGTGTGGACGCTTAGCTGCCTTGCTCGCGATTAAGGTCAATTGGAAAATGCGCGCACAATGTTCTGATCTGTGGTTTTGTCTACCACTCAGGACTACTTTCCCAAGCACCATGCCCAAGGAAAGAACATGTCGGGCACCGTGGCTCCGCCGCCCCACGTTTTCCACGACCCCTTCTTCGTGGTGGAAACCGTGTGTATCTTCTGGTTCTCTTTTGAGCTCATCATGCGCTTTGGTTGCTGTCCCAGCAAGATGGGCTTCTTCAAAGACGTCATGAATATCATCGACTTCAGCGCCATTTTGCCCTATTTCGTCACTCTGGGAACGGAGCTGGCCAAGAAAAACGAAACCAGCCCGGCCACCTCCTTGGCCATCATCCGAGTCATCCGGCTCGTCAGGGTGTTCAGGATCTTCAAGCTGTCTCGTCACTCCAAAGGTCTCCAGATCCTGGGTCAAACGCTGAGGGCGAGCATGCGTGAGCTCGGCCTCCTCATTTTTTTCCTTTTCATCGGCGTCATCCTTTTCTCCAGCGCCATCTACTTCGCCGAGGCCGACCACAGCGACACGGCCTTCGTCAGCATACCGCATGCTTTCTGGTGGGCCGTGGTCACCATGACCACGGTGGGCTACGGAGACATGCACCCGGAGACGGTGTGGGGTAAACTGGTGGGCTCCATGTGCGCCATCGCCGGCGTGCTCACCATTTCGCTACCGGTGCCCGTCATCGTGTCCAACTTCAGCTACTTCTACCGCCGGGAGACGGAATGTGAGGATCGATCCCATTACAAGCATGTCGCAAGCTTGCCTTGGGAGGACGAGGACCCGGGGGGGGAAGAGGCGCAAGAGGGGAGCCTGGATGCCGAGGGGGATTATTATGCCGTCGGAGGCGCCTATAATAATCTCAACGGGACTCTTCTGGGTGACAAGGGGCGGAGTGCTGAATTTGAAGGAAATACACATCCAAGGGAACCACTGGTCACCCAGGTGTGAAAAGGAGGTTCTTCCAGACCCCCCAACCCTCCAAAAAAAAGATAAAATGGGGAAAAGAAAGTGAGTCAAAAAATGTTGACTGGATCATTTGGTAAAAGGTCTTACAGAACTTGTAGAATTTGTATATTCTCAAGTTCACCCATCCAAACAAGCTTTTCATTTTATGCTGGACTTTTGACAATGTGCGCGCGCTGACACTATGACGTCTTACTTTGCCACTTTGCGCGTGTTCACCCCCGGAAACATTGAGACGCTCTGCATGTTGTAAAGCTCATGTTGCGAACCTCCTGTCAACCAAAGCCGACATCCTTGGCGATCTTTCGGTCAAACACGAAGCTCACGGTGGCGCCGCTTGGTGACCCGAGACAATTGACCTCATCGTGCTGTCTATTGAGAGAGCAAGCGACCGATTTTGTGATTTGTTCAAGACATGAATGCTACTCTTCCACTGGTTTAATAAATTCTCTATTTTGCTACATTTGTAGAATGGAGCAGTGCTTATTTGTCAAATAACACATTGCACATTGATCGGCCGCTTAGTTACGCCGCAAGTGACACCTTTAGGACCGGCCTTTTGCATAGCTGCGGTGCTACGCTACAAGCTGTTTTTATCCTCCATGTTCCTGGAACACTGAAGCCTTTCTTTCCATAGCATGAGAGTGATGACCCACGGAAGGCATGCGTACACATGCTGCTCTGTGTTGGTGTCACTGTCGCACACGGAATAGCGTGCTGCACACGTCAGTTTCAAAAAATACATTCAACGTGTCGCTCATGTTCAGTTTTTCACATTTTCTGAAAACTGCCCATTCATCCATCCATGAACTGAACCGCTTACCAATTGGAGGGAGGGGGGGGGGGGCTGTCAATTTGTCCATTCTTTTCACAAGGTGATGATATGCAACTTCCGTTTAAGATTGACTATCAAACTAAGCAGACAACAAATGATATTATGTTGCGTGTTTAACAAACAAACACTTAACTTTTCCTTTGGGTCTGCTTGCTTAATGCTAACGCATAATGCGAAACGCCATGGACAGGTTCATGAATAGCATCCCTGCGGCGGGCACTTTAAGGAACAGATACTTGAGCACAAACTGGACAGCAACACACGTAGACAGACAATGCAACACTGCTAACGGGCATATATTCTTCATCCCCACCCCCACAAAAAAAAAACAAAAAGTGTACTGTAGTTGAGAAAAGTGGTCTTTGTCGGCAAGAACGTGTTATACTGCCGCCTGGTGGTCAAATCTCGCAAACACCAGAAGGAGCTGCTATTACAACATGGTCGAATTTTCTCACATGAAAACACAAAATTTGCAAGCTACAAACGTGGCTAAAGTGCGATCTCAAGGCACCACTACACAAAGTGCCACTCAATTATCGGGACTGATCTCTCATTTCTATCGACCAGAGTAACACTGATCCAAAGTTAATGCTAAAAAAGACTGACGAGGAAAAAAACAAACTTACCAAAATAGTTTATTTTCATTCAAGTGTTTTCCAGTCTGACAAAATCCCTGCGAAGTACAAACACCTCATTGTGGAATCTTTATTCCTCAGACAAAAACACACTGTCACACTTCCAACGCACACATTCACTGAAATAAATAAAGTCAAATAATATTTACATTCCAACTGGAAAATGGGTCCAATACAATCAAACACTTCACGATTTCTAACCCATCGAGGCATTCATTTTCCTGCTTATTTCAAGTCCGGCAAAAGCGAACATTTTGGATTTTTTTTTTTTCTCCATGAAAACAATTCATTGTTCAGTGCATCCCGTCGCCTTCACTTTTCCACTGCGAACTGAGGACTGAGCACGGAATCCTGAGACATTCTCAGCGGGTCATCGGAGTCCAAGTTGAAGGAGGTGAGCCTGAGCGGCGCCGGCTGGGACGCGGCCATCCTCGGCAGGCTGTCCTTGAGCGGCAGGAATCGGGTGAAGGGCACGGCGCGCTGGTCCGGGGAACGCCTGGAAGCCAGCGACACGGGAAATCCGTGAAACACGGACAGGAAGCGGGTGTAGCCGTCCGCCAGCAGTAACTCTCGGAAGGTGCAGTCGTCCCCTGAGAAGCGCGTCTACGGGAGAGACAAGGCGTCGGGTAAGAACGAGGCAAGCAGATAACTTGATTGTTGCACGCACAATCCCAAACGCTTCTTAGCTTCTATATTTTCGGTGCAGGGTAACCCCTATTTATGTTTCTGGTGGGTGGGTGTCCCCTGTAAAGTACTCACATAAATGGTCATCTGTCAATTCGGGTGAAGTTTTTTCTTTTCTACTGTTAAAATCCTCTTGACGCGCTTTATTTTTGTATTGGATGTTTCTCCCGTGGGATTTTATTTTGGCGCTTTTCCGGTAGTTCAGGAAGTGCCGACCCACACGCAAGATGTCTTGACTTGGAGTACGCTCCTCCCCCCCAAAAATCGGCGGTTTGACTTTTGACGTTGATTGACACGCGGTTGTACGTAGTTGCCTTTCAAGCTAATGAATTTATTCCTTGATGCGAGCACCTGGCTGGAATGGGGACAAGGTATTTACGTTGTTTGATTTGTTTCTTTATTATTTCCTATGATGTGACTTCGCCATCGAAAAGAATTTTGTATGTTCTTTACTTTTGCGGTTTCGCTAATGATAGCCTCTCGTTAGTTATTCCGTAGTGTTGCTAGCTTTCGGTACTAGCTAACATTTTCCCGTGTCCGTTTAAAGTTGTGTTAAATGACTATTTACATTATTTTAAGGGCTCTCATTTATGTTTGTTGTTTTAATTGATTTCATCGGGACAGTGCACATTAATCAACACAACAGTGGGGGAAAAAAAATTCTGTTTCGAGATTCCCTTTCTAGTTTGACGTTCTCTTCCACACCTCTTACAGAATTGACAAAAGTGGTCACACCCCCCCCCCCCCCCACCACTCAAATGGGGTTTGGGTCTGCAAAACGG